TAATATTTTTTAATTTATCAATTAAATCAACACTATTCCTAATATAACTTGGAGATTTTTGTATAGAATTATTGATAATTTTGTGTAAGTATAATGATAAATTATATAACGGACTATTAACCGATGAGACTATAATTCTCAGAGGATAATTAGTTTTGTGAATCTTGGTCAACCCGTAAGCTCTCGAAATACTGCCGTCAGTGCTAAGTAAATTCTTATAAGTAATGTTATCTATAAAACCTTTGTTTTTCCATCTGACTAAAATATTACGTGAATCATTAATAATTTTACGAGTAGGATCTTTACTAATTATCTCATAAGTATTTTCATCCGAAAGCATCAATTCCATTTTATTGACATTTTATTAATCATCCCTGTTAAGAGCAACAGTCACATTTCGCTTATCAGCTTTTGAAAATAACAATTCTGGATGCTCTTTAATAAATTTTTTTGTAGATATTGTCCAACTAGATAATAACTTGGTGTTGGAGTCATTTTTTGGAAAGTCATTAAAAAATTTTTTTTAATGATTTAAATATAATTGCACTAATTACCGCGCACTAATTATTGAAGCTTTCAATTGCCCGATTTTTAATTAATAATTAGTTTAATATTTTGAGAGCTCAATCTGTATTTTTTTTTATTCAATTAGATTGAAAAACTGCATTTCATATTCAGAATATTGAATTGAGCAGTATTCACGTTGCACAGAAATGGCTGATATTATTTTTAAATTTAACTAAACTAAAACAACAGTACTTTCTATTTATAATTCTGGATTGAGTAGTATTCACGATGCACAGAAAATGCTAATATTATTTTTAGAAAGACATAAAGATATGCTCTATGCAATTCCTATAAACGTATAAAAATGCATTCAGGATTGAAAAAGCATAGACATTTGCTTTATGCAATTTTTATAAATGAATAAAAATGCATTCAGGATTGAAAAGGATTCATTTTAACATTCACGAATCCTTATTTCTGAAATCTGAATCCTTTTTAATCCATTTCAATCCATTCTCATTTGCTGGGTAACAACTCACGGTAATCACCTGATAGTTTAAGATTTACCGATATAGCAACACAGCTGAAGATGGCTTCAAGTGAGCCGAAACGTTCAGTCGTTATACTTATGTGAAAGGTTAAACACATTATGTTTGAAAATATAATTGCACTAATTACCGCGCACTAATTATTGAAGCTTTCAATTGCCCGCTTTTTAATTAATAATTAGTTTAATATTTTGAGAGCTCAATCTGTATTTTTTTTTATTTATTTTAATTATTAGGTATACAACTTTGCTTCCACCGTTTTCCTATAGATGGCTTTAGCGGTAAGTGGTGGTCGAAATAAATAGATCATAGACGTCATACAATAAACTTGGGCATCTGTCAACATAACCCCATAGAAACATTAGTCGATTTGTGTCTGCATCATAAAGTTATTCTCGATTGAAAATGTCAGTTTACGAGCCAAATTTTCGTCATTTGCGGGAGGTTTTAATTTTCTACTTCAATATGAAAAAATCTGCGGCTGAGGCTCATCGAATGCTCTCAAATACTTATAGTGAGGCCGCTATTAGTGAAAGAACATGTCGTGAGTGGTTTCAACGCTTGAAGAACGGTGATTTTAACGTCGAAGACCAACATAGCGGTGGAAGAGAGAAGGTTTTCGAAGATGCAGAATTGGAGGCATTACTTGATCAAAGCTCGTGACAAAATCAAGAAGAATTGGCACAATCATTGGGAGTGACTCAACAAGCCATTTCAAAACGCCTCAAAGTATGGGAATGATTCAGGAGCAAGGAAATTGGGTGCCGTACGAGTTGAAGCCGAGAGATGTTGAATGGCGTTTGTTTGCTTGTGAACAGCTGCTTGAAAAGCAAAGACGGATGGGATTTCTGCATCGCATTGTGACTGGGGACGAAAAATGGGTTCATTACGATAACCCCAAGTGCAGAAAATCATGGGGAGTTCTCGGCCATGCTTCCACGTCGACGGCCAAACCGAATATTCGCGGCTTCAAGGGGGGTGATCCCCATTGATCACGGCTCGATTGGACACCACCAATCACAGCGACCGGTGCTTAGGAGCTTTGTAGTCTCAAGCGCTGTGAGTGGCTCGTGTCCAATTGAGCCCTGTCCAACTGGGTGCCACCCCTTCAAGGTCATACTCTGTATTTGGTGAGACCAACTCGGCGTAGTGTATTATGAGCTGTTAAAACCGACTGAAACAATCACAGGCGATCGGTATCGAATGCAATTGATGCGTTTGAGCCGAACATTGAAAGACAAACGGCCGCAATACAATGAGAGACACGATAAAGTGATGCAGCATGACAATGCTCGACCCCATGTTGCGAAAGTAGTCAAGACACTTGGAAACATTGAAATAGGAAGTCCTACCCCACCCGCCGTATTCTCCAGACGTTGCTCCCTCTGACTATCACTTGTTTCGATCAATGGCACACGGCCTGGCTGACACTTCCGGTCTTATGAAGAAGTAAAAAATTGGATCGATTCGTGGATCGCCTCAAAAGATGACCAGTTTTTTCGACGCGGGATTCGTACACTGCCTGAAAGATGGGAGAAAGTAGTGGCCAGCGATGGACAATACTTTGAATCATAAATGTATAACCAGTTTTTTAAAATAAAGCCTCGAATTTCGGAAAAAAACGGCAAAAGCACAGTTGTACACCTTTATAACTTTAACTTAACTCAGTGTTGACAGAAAAATAACCATGTACTTAACCTTGCATGAAATAAATATATATAGTATTTTTCTAGATTATCCGAGTATATAAGAATCATGGATGGCAAAGAAACATGTAGATCGTGGAACGATATTGATTCCAATGAGGAAATCGTTATTTCTGGTATTGCTGGTAGATTTCCTTATTCAGATAATATGAATCATTTACGAGAAAATTTATTCAATAAAATAGACCTTGTAAGAGCGGATCATAACCGATGGGAAAGAGGTGATTAATTCATATTTATAATTATTAGATTATTATTAGATTTGATTGTATTAATGAAAAATGGACACATATTTCGAAAAAATGCAAATTTCCAAAGTAGGGATTTTTAAAAGCAATCAGATTTATTATGGACTCAACTTATTTCACATTTGACAGAACTATTTACAAACAGAATTTCGGGACACCCATGGGCTCTCCTCTGTCTCCTATCATAGCTGATTTGGTAATGCAAAGATTAGAAAGAGAGGCCTTGATGATATTCAGAGACAATATAGTTTTCTATTATCGATATGTTGATGATTTATGCGCGGCCGTTGCAACATCCAAGATAGATTCTTTTCTTAACGCATTCAATTCTTTCCATCCACGCCTACAATTCACATTAGAAGAGTTGGTGATAATTCTTTAAATTTTCTAGATATCTCAATTATTATAAAAGAAAATCAGTTTCCGATTGGTATCGAAAACCAACTTTTTCAGGTAGATTCTTAAATTTCTTTTCAAATCATCCAATTTCTCAGAAAAAAGGCATCATTTATGGCTTGCTGGATAGAACGATATTATTAGCAGATCCTTTTTTTCATATAAAAAGCATAACACTGGTTATCAAAATTTTAATTGATAACGATTATCCTTTAAAATTCATTTTTGACACCATTAATAATAGAATCAAAGATATCACTCGCAATGGGACATCACTTAGTAATAACTCGAATAACAATGAAAAATCATGTGTCTATCCTTCATGGTTTACAGTACCTTTTGTACCGATTTTAACAGAAAAGTTTCAACAATTTAGTAGGAATGATATCAAGGTCTCTTATTTTAGTTCCAACAAATTACGTAAATTCATTAAGGTCCACAAAGATCCTCTAGACTCTTTTTATAAATCAAATGTTGTGTATAAAATAAATTGTAATAATTGCGATGCATCTTACGTGGGACAAACCGGAAGGAGATTAAAAACACGGATTTCAGAACATCAAAGACATACACGATGGATATACGAGCACTAAATCAGTAATAACAGATCATCGATTGCACTAAGGACATGAGTTTGATTGGAATAATATTCAAATTCTTGATGAAGAGCCGTGTTATAATAAACGTTTTGTCTCGGAGGTGCTTAATATTAAAAAACAGAAAAACAGTCTCAACCTCCAGACAGATACAGAGGGTCTTCATAAATCGTATATTCCTATCACAAACAAAGTTTGACTTTGCATTACCAAAATAGTCCACATTACAGTTTTGTTCGTCGTGTCGAAATGACGAGTCTTATTTTACTTATTTGATAGTATGTGATTGTGTGGTTTTAGTTACTTTTTTATTTTATTCCATACTACCGACTATCTATTTGTTTGACATGGATCTTTTTAATTTTGACGCAGAGGTGAATTTATTATCGGAGAGACGTAACTTGCTTGTTTTTGTCATAAGTAAAAAGACATATAACATTTTTCGTCCTCTATAGAATAACGAGATTTCTTCTCACTCGGTCATCCAATCGTTTGACGAGCAACTCAGTTTCTCTGCTCATCTTCTTATCATTTTTTATTGCCATTTATACGTATAATTTCATTTATATTACGATTTTTAACGTCATATTTAAAGTTTTCCTGCGTTTCATATTGTGCATCTGATGAGGGCCAAAACGATAGGCCGAAACATGTTATGATATGTTATACATTGTATCTACGTAGAGTCTTATTGTCTTTGTAATTTTCTTATTTTTATTTTTATAAATATATATGTGTTATTTTGAAAGACTTTTATTTTATTTATTTTTATTACGAAAATCGACTCTTATTAGCCTTTGTTCTTTTTTAATGTATTTTTATATCAAGAGTCCTTTTATTTCTTTCAATATTTACAATTATTATGGTGATTGTTATTTTAACAATTTTTTAAATTTAATCAAGACATCCCCTAAAATGGTTCAATATCTCAAAGAAATATTATCAGATTTTGAACAATTACCGTGCCACTAGGGCATGGTATAGGCGGAAAATCACCTTTGTGGACAAAATTCGATCGACGCTTTAATTTTTAACTAATTTTAAAGTTTGTTTTTAATTTGTCCGAAATTGAATAAGCCATAAGTCCATTTTATGTGTTTTGATTATGATAACAAAGTAAAAATTGCCAATGAAGTCAGTAAAAAAAAACTTAATCATATGATAACGAATATCGGATCGGCAATTTTTAATTGGAATCGTAATCAAAGTTTAAGCAAAATGGGTTTTTAGCTTACTCAATATCGAGCAAATTAAAATAAAAACTTTAAAATTTGTTAAGAATTAGAGCGTCGGCCGAATTTTGTCCATAAAGGCGTTTTTCCGCATATCTGTGCCTCGATGGTGTGGGTTAAAATTGTTCAAAAAATTTGAAAAAAATCTGGTTTTTTTTTGTTGATATTTAACGACTTTAGGGAATGTGCCGATTAAATTTCAAAAGTTCTTAAAATAATAATTACTCTAATGGTTATACATTATACTTTTACAATTACGCCTGTTTGGTTAAGATAGTATATGCCACTCCCCTACTGTACTATTTATTTGTCAACAAAAAAGTATATATCAAATCAAAGTTTCATACAAAATGATAATCAAAGAACATAAAATCCTTATGTGAATATATCTATTTTTAGATTATGCGGAATTTTCACGCCGTATGGGAACAGTTAATAATATAGAAAAATTCGATGCGGATTTTTTTGGATTATCTTTTGAGCAAGCACACACACTTGTACCTGATGCGAGATTGTTATTGGAACATTCTTATGAAGCAATTATCGATGCGGGGATCAATCCAAAGCAATTACAAGGGAAAAATACTGCCGTAATAATAGGGTCATCTTATATTGAAACACAAAGAAGGTTCATTTTTAAAGACTCTCAGGTAAAAAAAGATACATATATAGGGATAATATGTATATATTATATACACTACGCAAAAAAATTAAAAGATCACTTAGTCCACCTCAAAAATAGGTAAAAATTCAGAAGAGTGTAACTTCGTAAAAATGATTATAACGAGATTTTTAAAAGTTATTCGACATTGAAGCAAAAATGACCCTTTTTATTGAATGTCGAATAATTCGTCGAAAAAAAATCGTACAACGTTCAATAAAAAAGCAAATTGAAGGTAAAGATTCACTCTTCTGACTGTTTAAAACCGCATTTGTGTGCGATTTTTAGTTTATGCCATAGACTTTTGTAAAATTTGTACAAAATTTTCAGATTTGACGGATATCCATTTCTGTTCGTATAGCTACGTAAAAAATCAATCAGATCGAAATATCAATTACCGATTTCGAAAGTAGAGATTTCAAGCTTTAAAATGCTTTTT